TATGCTCATTTTGTAAAAATTCATTAACCTGTACCCTAATGTGTTTTTGTATGCACATATATTATGCTCCAATAAATGATGTTTATGTAGATGCCCAGTAATTATTAACAAATGACTAATCACAAGTTCTGAGAAAGTAGGAACTTGCTGCAGAAAGAGAGCAGTCTTCCAGTCTCTGGGCGTCTTTTATTTAAAGGCTGTGTCTGTCTGTCCCACAGGCTGGAGGGCAGGGGTGTGATCATAGTTCACTGTAGTCACAAACTCTTGGCCTCCAGCAATCTTCCCACCTCAGCCTCCAAAGCAGCTGGGATTACAGGTAGCCAGACCAACATGCCTGGCTACTTTTTAAGTTATTGTGGAGACAGGGGCTAGCTAGGTTGCCCAGGCTGATCTCGAACTCCTGACCTCAATCCACCCTCCTGTCTAGGCTTTCCAATGTGCTGAGACTACAGGTGTGAGTCACTATGCCCAGCTGAGTCAGGAGTCTTCTACTCAATCCCACTTCTAATATCAACTGTGCAAAAACAGAGTTCACTTGCTAAAAAAGACTCACAAGGCTCCATGTAACAAGGTTACAAATCTATGCAGAAAAGGGATACAATGTAATAACAGTGTTGAAATAAAGGTATGGATTAAAGTCCCTCTCCCTGCAAGGAGTCTGGAAAAAGATTCCAGGTGAAAGCTTCTGGCTTCTTCTGAAAGAGTCGTGGGTGCACATTTTCTCTCGGATCAGGAGCCATGTGCATGTGCATAGAACACTTTGGAAGGAAGGATCACAAGATGGAGTCTTGCCTGAGTTTTTAAATATTTTCCTGGTCATATATATGTATATCACTGCTACAAAATCAGCTTCAACAGTGGGACCCGCTGGAGATTTCACTAAGACCAAATGCAAATTAATCTCATACTAATTAATAAACAACGTAACAAATAGGTGAAAACCACCAGAAAATTCCTTGATCCATGGTTACAAAAGTATCATTGTTAATCGGTACGTTTTGGTGATTGACCAGTGGTTATGCAAGAAATTTGGCAAAACATCTCAAGATAATTCCAAAACTGGTAGAAATTAACCTTTACTGCACAACATGCCATAGAATTGTCTTCCTATTCCTAATTTACTACTGATTGGAGGTTGAAGTATAAAAATTTCTTTTACTGAATTTATTTAAATGATTATGTTCTTTATCTTTTGAGTTACTACAGAAACTTTCATTAATTTTTTTTCCCCCAAGTTAAACCAAGGCTTGCGTTTCTGGACAAAAATAACAATAATTTGGTCATAATTATTATCTTTTTCAGTGCCCTGCTACATTTGGCTTGGTATTTTATTGGGAACTTTTCAATTTTTGTTCACAAGTGAAATGGGCCTGTTTGTTTTCCACTCTCACATGATTCCTCTGGTTTGGCTACCAAGTTAATACTAGCCACTGAGCAAACTGTTGAGTGTTCCCTATTTTTTAATTGTATGGATGTGTCTATAACAACAGTGTAATTGTTATGTTTCAACTTGACTGGGCTAAGAGATGTCCACATAGCTAATAAAACATTACCTCTAGGTGTATCTATAAGGATGTTTTTGGAAAAAGTTAGCATTTGAATGAGTAACTGAGCAATGTAGATGGGCTCCACAATTTGGGTGGGCATCATCCAATTCAATGAAACTCTTGAATAGAACAAAAAGATGGAGGAAGGGTGAATTCACTCTCTGAGCTAAAACATCCATCCTCTCCTTCCCTTGGTCATCACTGCTTCTGGTTCTTGGGCTTTGGGACTCAGACCAGGACTTAAATCACTAACTTGTGGTTCTCAGGCCTTTGGACCCTCATTATCAGGTCTTCAGACGTGGACTGAATTAAACACGTGGAGTGGCTTGCCGGTTCTCCAGCTTGCTGACGGAAAATTACAGGACTTCTTGGTCTTCATAACTGCATAAGCCATTCTCATAATAAGGCTTCCTTTGCTTTCCTTTCTCTGGAGAATCCCAATACAGATTAATTTTTGTTTTCATGAAGATGAGTAGCACATATTTTAAAATTAATCAGGTCTCATTTTTTAATGATATAATTTTAAGCTTCTGATTCAATTCATTTAGTGGCTAATTATTAAGTCTGTTTAGTTCTTGAACCAATTCTGTTTCATTTTTAAAATAATATTAAGTTTTCATATATATTTTGATAAGGTTGTTCTATATCTCTTTAAGTTTTGCTGTCTGTATTTATACTCCTCTTCTGATCCCAGTATTTTTAATGTAGTTAATATACTTAACAGATAATAGTTACTATAATCAATATATAACAGATTTTTCTCTTATCATTCCTTAAAGCATATTTTATATAACGTGATTTAAAAAGAAATGGTATTTTCTGAAACTATTTTCCCTCAACACCACTAAATGAGATATGCAGGATAGAAACAACAGCAACACCAGGGAACTCGTGAGAAATGTAAATTGATGGGCCTCACAGGGTCAGATTCTCTAGGGACTGATTAGAATCTGTATTAAATCAAGTTCTGGTAACTGATGCTTAAAATTTGAGAAGCACTACTTAAAACTATATAATATCTCTCCACTAAAAACCATAAATGTATTTAGCTTTATTTATTTATTCTTATTTTGAAGCTTTTATTATTAGAGCCCACACACAGAAAAGTACAGAAATCCTAAAGGTACAGCTCAATGCATTTTCGCAATGTGAACGTATCTTTGTAAGCAGCACCCAGATCAAGAAACACGACGCTTACCTGTACCTCGACTTTTAACACTATTGATTAATTTGCCTGCTTTTGAGCTTAAGTAAATAAAATCATATAGTACCTTTCTTCAGTTTCTGGCTTCTTCTGTTCAACATTTAGTTTATGATTTGTAACCACATAGTTCTCCAAACAAAAGTTCATTCATTCTCATTGCTATATATTACTTTACTATAGGATTACAACAAGATTTATCTCTTCTACTTTTAGAGATTTGTATTGTTTAGCTTTTCACAATTACAAACAGTCCTACTATAGACAAGACAGCCTTGTATATATATGAGTTTTGGAAAGCACATGTGTCTTAGCTGTTGGTGCTCTGTAACAAAATAGCACAGACTTGGTAAGTTATAAATAATAAACATTTATTTCTTAAAGTTCTGAAGGCTGCACATCAAGGAGTCAGCAGGTTTGGTGTCTGATAAGGGTTTGCTCTCTGCTTCCAGGATGGTACCTTCTTCTTGTGTCTTCATATGGCTTAAGGTTGAAGAGGAAAACGGATAATCCCTTTGGTCTCTTTTATTAGGTCTCTAATCACATTCATGAGAGTTCCATCTCGTGATTAAATCATGCCCAAATGGCCCAATCTCTTAATATTATCATATTGGCAATTAAGTTTCAACATATGCAATTTGGGATACACATTTAGACTGTAGCCATATGTATGCAAAATATATAAGGTATGTATCTGTACCAGTGTAGCTTATCTGAAAGTCTTTTTAAAGATCTTGTCAAAATAGTAGAACCTTTTAAATCTCAAAAAACCTGATCACCACTTGAGGTAGATAAGCAGGAAAAAAACACTTAAATTTCTGAAGACTGAATATGTTTCAGCATATGGAAATTTAGCATGTTCTCTGAACAAAAAGCCTAAAAAGTCTATTGGTTTATTAAATCATTTTCACATTAATGCATTATTTTGATCATTTTCACATTGCCTACATCAGTGAGGTGCAATGGAACTATAATGCAAAGCACATATGTAATTATAAGTTTTCTTGGAAATACAATGAAATATAAAAACAGGTGAAATTAATTCTAATAATTTTTATTTTACTAACTCAATATATTGAAGATATAGCTAAGCTATAAGCATTACAACATACAATCAATACTAAAATACTGAGACATTTTAGTTTTATACTGCCTTCCAAATCCAGTGTATATTTTACATTTATAGTATATCTCCTTACAACCTCCCTAATTTCATCAGAAATATTTAATTGGTATTTATTTTATAGAGACATGGTCTAGCTCTGTTGCCAGGCTGGAATGCAGTGGCACAGTTACAGTTCACTGCAATCTCAACCTCCCTGGCCCAACTGATCCTCCCACCTCAGACTCTGGAGTAGTTGGGACCACAGGTGTGTGCCAGCACACCTGGCTAATTTTTAAACTTTTTGTACAGATGGGGTCTCACTGTGTTGCCCAAGCTGGTCTCGGATCCCTGACCTCAACCAATCCTCCTGCCTCAGCCTCCCAAAGTGTTGGTAAACAGTTAAGAGCCACCCACACCTTGGACATAATCAGTTTTTAGATTTCATAAAATTTACAGTTGAAAAAGTAGATTCAAATACCTCAGTTGTTCCAATCATATTTAAAAACTTTCCAATAACTGAAGCAAGTGTCAGTTTTTTAGTTTCCTAAAACTAAAATTAAATATTCAGTTACTTCATGACACAGCATGTTTCAAAAGCTCAATAGCCACAGGTGGTTAGTGGCTACGCTGTTGAAGAGCACAGATCTAGGTTAACTGGTTTTTGTTGTTCTCCACATGCTTAAACTGTAACGCAAATATGAAAAGAAATTATTTTATTTTTGCCTGCTGAGGAAGACAGGGAACTTCGAAATACATGAGAAAGGAAAAACAAACTGAATATGGGTCTTTCAGAGACATTGCCAAGAGAGTAGAAAAGCTTCTGCAGAAGAGTATCAAGTCAATGGTACTTCTGTATTATAAAGCTGTTTCACCACCATCGATCCCCATCGCTTCAGCAGTCCCCTTATGTTTTAGTCTTTTTTCTTTAAAAAAAAAAAAAAAAGAAAGAAAGAAAGAAAGAAAAATTGAATCTGCAGAGGGCTTGCACTGGATACCATGCTGTATGCACGAAAGGGGTGACATTTAAGGCTTGCTCTCAATTAGAGTGTAATTTAATCTTCTAGTTACTAGGAATACCAATGTTTTAGAACATTTCTGCCTGTTGGAATTTTGAACCTAAGGTGAACCGGCTGACATCATAACTTACCCTTTCTGTTGTTCTCATAGGTTTTCAAAATTTGGTTTGATCTAAATCCTCTGGCACCTTACGTCCCATAAAAATTTCATCTAATTCAGAGGTAGCGACTGCGGCAGTAACCGTCATATAAAAGAATATGGGTTTTACAAATCATTGTCCTGTAGAAGAAAAAACAGGTAGCAATATGAATATTTCGTACTATTTTATTTAATCCCAAAATAATCAGAAAAAAGTCATAAAAAATATCCTACGCTTAAATTTATGTTCTCAAGTTCCAAGAGAAAGTTTTTAAAGAGGCAATCCTTACTTTGGCAAAAGTACATTAAAACTTGCTGCATTTAAGAGATGTCCCTTTATGCAAACAGGTTGAAAGACTATTTCAAAAACGCTTTGGAAAAACAGAGTGGCGCGCAGCTCAGCAATCCAGTCTTAAGGCGCGCCTCTTTCCACAAATTTGATCCAGCATTAAAACGCACAGGTGCACTCACTGCACGGGAGCAGCAAGTAAATGATGTGCCAATATTCAACTTGTAAGTGCGTCGTCGGGGCCTGCCTCACCTTCAACCTAACTTTCTCCAGTGTTCACCTTTCCGGAAACGTGCCCGCGTGAACAACCACCGCTTTCCCCAATAAAGCCAGCACTCTGGGTTCCCACGCTCCTCAGGAGGGGCCGAGGGCGCAAAGGATTCTGAAGTACACGACTGCGCAGGCGCTGCCCTCCCGGCGCATGCGCCGTACTCCGCGCATACTCAGAGGCGGAGACCGGCGGGGTCCTGGGAGGGTAACGGAGGCCGGGCTGCCCCGCCCCCGTATTCTGCGCGGAGCTTCTCTTCCGCTGTGGGTCTGCTCCGCTTCCCTTTCCTGGCGGGAAGGCAGCGGACACCGGTGTCTTTTCTCTCTCTTGCACAGAGTCAGCTTCTGCAGCTCTCCCAGGCTAGCATGGCAGCCTGGAGGTGTCGGGCCGCCCTGCGGCTCTGCGCCACAGGTAATGAGCTAGCAGAGGTCGCGACGCCGGCAGGCTCTTGGGACCTGGCCCGCAGTGGGGCCGGGATTGGGCCCGGGGCTGAGGCAAGGCCTGTGGGGTCCGCGGAGATGCCCGCCCGGTCCCGGCAGAGTCCTGCCGCCCCGCCACGCTGCCCTGCCTGGTCCTGACGGAGCAGTTACCTTGGGGTTCTTTCCCTTGCCCCTGTGCGGGGACCAGTGCTGGACGCGGGAAGGGCGCCCTTCCTTGTGTCTGTGTTTTTTTCATTGTGGCAGGAAGTTTCAATAAAGCTCACTCCTTTGATGGGCAAGAAGGATACTGCCGTCCCAGCTTAACCGCCAGCTCTTGCCTTGGCTTTAGGTTCCGAGTCTTGTCACGTTCAAGGGTTTTTACCAACAGGGCTCAGACAGATCAGGGTCAGGCCGCCGGGATTGTGCGATGTGAAACACTCAGTGTGTGCGGACACACCGAGTGTGTGTCCGCTGTTCTCGGCTCCCTCTCTTCAGCCCTGGGGGCCTTCGTTCTCACTGGGGTCCGCTCACTTAGCAGCCTTTTAGAGCCCATTCTATGTCAGGCAATGCCCTGTAGTATTAGAGTTGCAGCTCGACTTTGTTTCTTTCTAGCCGTCTGTTCAGGGGAAATACTTTGAATGGCATTTGTAGTTTTTACTGAAGAGATCATTGCTACTAAAGCAAAAGAAATAAGAGGAATGCTGTCTGCTTGTATTCCAAAAAGACAGGATGGTAAAAAGGAAAAGTAAGGTGAGAGTTAAAATATATAGGAAAATGGAACTCTGTGTTTATTAGATTTATTGGCTTACTAGAACCTGGCCGGTCATGATATGGTTGCATACAGACTAGATGTTTATTAAATGGATGAACTACTTCTGCTTTTGCATCACTTGTACCCTGGAATGCATCAGTGATGAATTTTTTGGTAGGTTGTAAAAGGTCAAAAACACTTCAAAGATGACTAAGCTTATGCAGTATGAGCCAAATAATCAGCATTTATTGTGTACATTTTGTCTTTTTCTTTTTTCAGTTGTTTTAATTAATATGGTCGTCTGTAAAGGAGTTGTAGAAGATTTGGATGAATCGTGAGTATACATATATGTACTTAAAATATTGTTTTAACTTTGTCCAACTCAGATATCTGAATATTTGCATGTGAATCTGATATTTTACATTAGAACCAATTTTTATATATTATCAATTTTTTTTCGCTTGTTTTAAGGTCTATATAGATACAAAATGAGGATATGCCCAAAAGTTTTATTAATAGTTATGAGATCAAAAAACTGTGGCACCCTTTCTATATTCTTTTCTTCCCCATTATCATACCTTGTATTTTATGTCTTTTTGCTTTTGTACTTGTATTTGTTATGTTTTACTTGTATTTGTTATGTATTTTTGCTTTAATTATATTGAATTGGTACTAGAGTTTGGTAACTATACTGTGTTTATCTTCATAGTATCACAGCATTAATCTACCTTGCTTATAATAAGTGAGTAGGTGCACTTCAGACCAAAATCTCATGTGTGATCTCTCAGGCTTGACCATAAACAATTGCAAGGCTTTTTCTGGCAGGCCACATAGGGGATGGTGCCCTCCCTACACCAAACTTCGTGTATAACCAATGCATTGCAGTCTCTGGAGGGAGTCGTAGTCAAGGATTCGGCCTCCCAGGCCAGCCAGGCTCATTTGCATGTCTACACTCCTTAACCCAGTGGTCTCTATTTGGTGGCCTCCTTATTGGGACCTCACCTTAGGCATTTCCCAAGCAGCTCTGCTAAAACATCTTTATTGAGAGCCTCTGCTGAGGCACTTTTCTATACCTAGTCTTTTTCTCTCTCACCTCCGCCCATAAAGAGACAGAAGACTTTTGTTCAGTGCTCCTAGAAAATGAGATGCATTCTCCCATCTGCGTCGTATCCACCTGACTCACCTGGTGCTGTTTCATGGGGGAGAAATGGAACACTGAGGGGCTGATGCCTCTTTTTTTTTTTTAACCTCTTGGCTTGAACTGTCACAGTAAGTGAATAAAGCCTTGATTGTTTGTTTCAGTTTAGCTTATTGTCCTGATTGACCACCTGGACGCCTGATGGCATGACCAAATGGGTACAGTAGGAGTGTGATCATACAGTGCTGTTCAGTAAGAGCAAAAATCCTGACAGTCCCATGGGGGCACTTCGCTGGTCGTACTATTGGGTTGTGGGGTGTGCTAGCTGATTGTTTACAGAAAGTTTTTGATCCCGAGAAGAACCATTGTTCACAAGGAGATAATCTTATTAAACTTAGTGCCTTGTGGGGTGTGTCAGTACAGACCTCCTCCTTCAGAATGTCCTAACGGGGGCACTCTTCCTGAGGAGGAGGAAGGGGTTCTACACCTAATAACCATTTTGTTACCCATGTGGATGCTCACCAGAAAGAACCCTGTGCTGAAAAAGGGGACTTTTACCAAGAGCAAACTATGTTTGTCAGCTAAATGTGGAAACTGAATTGTTCCTTGCTCTAGAGCTAGCAGATGTGCAACCAGTTGCCTCCTGGATCCCCAAGAGATGGCTCATGGAAATTCAGGCAGGATCACATTGAACAGGAATGCATGGACTGTGACGGTTGTAAGAAGACACCATAACAGCATGAAAAAGCTGTCTTGCTTGTCAGACCCCAGGCAAGGCTAACAACACTGTCCAGGGACAGGTTCATGAAGCCAATGGGCCAGGGTATTCTCAGCACATAGAACATGGTGGGCCTCTCCTGTCTGTAATGCTCCTGTGGCTACTGACTGCAGTTGACGTTTCTCTGGGTTTGGCTTAGTCATTCCCATGTGTTTCAGTAACTTGGGCCACACTGTCTAGGCTCTGCAAGACCACCTTTGTTTCCTGTTCACGTAACCTAAGAACACCGCATATGATAATGGCCCTGGATTATTGGCCTGAGCTACACATCAGTGAGCCCAATTATGGGTGATACAATGGGCTCTTCATGTGCTAAATCAATCCTAATCCACAGGGGTGGTTGAGGATTTTAAGGGACAGTTAAAGGTTGGACCTAGTTAGCTGATGGTGTGATACAGTACCCCAGGCTAGACTACATATCTCAGGGGAGTGGTCTGGGATCTCAGCACAGGAATTCCTCAATTCAATATTTTTCATAAGCATTTTATGAACACTGAGGCATCATTACTAGGTAATGGTGAGAACACTTCTGAAATCCACGTTCCCAGATGCCAGCCAGGGACCATTCTTGCAAACAGTTCTTTCTAAGCATAGCAGTCTGAGGCTTCCTACGGTACCTATTCTGCACAAGTGTAAAATGTTGTAGTAGAGCAAGGAGCTTAGGCATCTATTTGTGTTTCCACCAAGTCCTGCTTTAATTCTTTTTGTTGGAGTCTTTCCTTGTAATTACTTTATTATTGATCAGTTCTCTGCTTTTATTTTTGAGATGTTTGATGGATAGGTCACTGAGTACAAATTTTATATAAAAATTTATTTAAGAAATTTGGTTTTTGCCCTTGTATTTATCAATGTATTATCTCTGCCTATATTATACAGTTATAAAGTGGACACAAACATGCAATCAAAGATTTGTTTTCTTGTTTTTCAGGTTTAAAGAAAATCGTAATGATGACATTTGGCTTGTAGATGTAAGTATATAAATTTTATATGCTAGTTACCCACCCTTACCATTTTAAGTATTATTTTCTATTTTCCTCTACCCAAAGACATCAGTATACAGCTAGTGCTTATGCATACACTCAATTTGTTTTTTTAGGTATTATTATATTTGGGATTTTACATTAAAAAGAATCTCAGAGTTTTAAGGTTCCTCTGAAGGGAACCTATTTTTGATGAAATTCGGGGGTGAGGACAAGCTGGAACCCTATATTATATTGAGGTCAACTTTTAGATTGTACCTTAGTGATAAAGGATATGATTTTATTACAGAATTCACTCTTGTTTTCTTAATAGTCTCCAAGAGCTAGAATATATTAATATCATTTAGAATCATATTTTTATCTTAACAGTGGACAAAATTAAATTTTCATCTTCCTTTCTTTCAAGTTTGAAATATATTTAAACCTTATGATAGTTGCTGTTTTAACATGCCTCAACAAAAAGTAGAATAGCAGCAAAAGAGAAAGAAAAAGAATGGCAGAGTTGACAGTTACTGAACCTAGATGACAGATCATGAGGATCCACTACAGTATTTAATTCTTTCTCCTTTTGTGTATGTTTGAACATTTTCATAGTTTAAAGTTAAAAAATCTTGTTTCATGGGAAGATAAGCAGTTTGTAACACCACTTAACTAGGGAAACCTGAGTATCAGCCCCACCATCTGGTAATTCTAAAGGGTAAAAGACTGTGACTTTAGTTTAATCAACCTGACTTGCTCTTGTGCCAAACCAGTCGTATTAACGACCTCCCCAGTTTTGCCAGTGGTTACTATAGAAGTCAGCAAAGCCACCTACTATGCTGGAATTTTTATAATGTAAGTAGATTGATATTTATCATTAAAAATTAGGTGTGTATGTGATGTGGTATGTATATGTTTATTTTGGGGATTCATTTTACATAAAACATTTTATACAGAACATTTACTTGGAAGCAAGGACATTTTTATTGTAAATTGTGTATCTGTTTTAAATAAGTACCAGTAGTCAATTAAAATGAACTTAAGACAGTATCAGTTTTGAGGTATCTAGGTTTATGTTTGTATGTTTTGA